ACACACACATCTTTCATCCTGTAGTGAATCAGTTGTGCGAGCAGAATAAATAACTGTAACACACACACAAAGTGTGCTATAAATGCACACACACATTCAGACACACACAATGAGTGATGTGCACACGTGGCTCTGTGTGTTTTCACTGTGGTTGAGCAGGTTGTTATGTAACTACAATTTTCCATAACAATGGCGGAAATGGAAAATGAAACAGTAATAGTAGGGGCGAGAATCAAGTAATTGAGTGTAATTCCACACCTCGCTGTGATAATTGGAGGCTTGTGATTGGTTGTTGGCCCCCTCTAGTGTTACATCATGTGCATGTATTCACTAAAATTGCCTCCTCATTATCAGCTGCAAGCCACCTTAATGTTGTATTTTATCACGTTAAAAAGTATGATCTGGATTAAAGAATATTAATTGTGCCCTCATAAAGAAATGTTTAGACCCTAACCCTATAACACTAAGTTACAATAACATACAGTCACAACACACTGCATACAATATGTGTTGAGTGGCTGATTTAATTTAAAGATGTGAATCTTTTAGGGAATTTTAGAAATGTACATTAAGATCAAAATAACTTTTCCCACAGATACAGGCAACACGCACATGGCAAACCCTGGTTGAGAGGGAAGAAAAACCAGAAATCAAACCAAAGTTTTAGAAGTGTCCAACAGCACAAAAGGGGAACATGAAAGGCTACAATAGGTGGCTAGAGGGGAAATGAAAGTGAGGACAAAAACAGCTGGACGCAGTAGGACAATGACCTGGATATGGTACTGTGAACAACTCAAGCTGGGTCTATGGAAAAGAAGCTCACACCTTAGGGCTGTAAAGATTTGAGGCCCATATAAAGAACATGAAACTTCTAATACATATGAACTATATTCTGAAGTGCTCACGTTGACAGGAGAAAGTGATGGCAGCAGTAAACCCCAAAATGTAAAAGAAGCAGGAAGGAACAGAGATGCGCGGAACATCACGACAAAAGTTATGCAGCCTAAGAAGTGTAGAGGAGCAGGACCAGGAGAAAGAGGGGGCCCCTGAAGTGCCTTTAGAAGCTGTTGGAGGAAAATAAAAGTGGTCAACTGCAGTTGCTCTATAGGGAAGTATACAACAACCGAGTAAATGCCAAATCATTGCAAGAGAAGAACTCTTTGGCACCAGAGGCTGAGTTTAACTCGTCAGAACCTGATCAGAAGACTTCACTAGAAAGACACAGGCAGGGTCATCACAAATGTAAATGTTTCTATCCCACCTATATCACCACATCAAAGTGGAGATACTACCTGCCAGAGGAAATTGGACAAACCTTGCAGGGCTCCTTTGAAAATATCCAAATTAGGTTCACTGTCGGGGATAACTCAACAGATGGTTAGGGTTAGAGAGTAGAACTACTAGAGTTGTGGTTTATCAACGGGTGAACAATATTAGTGCCCTGCTCATTGTAGCCATTGCTCTTCTGTTCAATTCTGCAGAAAGACCAAGTTGAAGACAGATCATAATGCAGAAGGAACGACAATCACCAACATGGGCCTTCATAGGCCATTTTAACTCTGATGCTGGGCGGCTTGGAGAAACTCATCACATGGGACAGGCTTTTAAATCAGGCAAATCAAGAAGTCTGGAGCTAAAAAAAGGCAAAGTGGACAATAGAATATGATTCAAAGTCAGGTTAATTCAGAAATGATGCAGCCTGACAAGTGTAGAAAACCACAGCAAGAACAGGAGAAAGAGGATTCTCCTGAACTGTCTCAGAAAATTGTTGGTTGAAAGAAAAGAGGACAACTGCAGTTGCTCTAGGGAAAAAGTAGCTGACAACCTGAATATAGGAGTGCGGGTCTGCAGAAAGACCAAGTTGAGGGCCGCTCATAATGCAGAAGAAACGACAACCTCCAATATGGGCCTAAATCCGTGACATGACAATTTCAATCGTTCAGGATCGTGACACATTACTCGGACTCAAATGAACTCGAAACATAAATACAAAAACAACTAAATATAAGAAACAAAGTACAAAGGCAAAATAATGAGGGCTGTCAAGTTAACGCGTTAACGCAAAATTATTTTAACGCCCGCTTGCGGCAGACCACACTTGAAAGTGTGCGGGGGAGACGCCTGGACACGTCTACGAGCAGCAAACTTTCAACAAAGCTCGCTAAATGGGTGGCTGCAGCTTGCAGGCCAATTAACACTGTGGAGGACGAGGGGCTGTGTGATATAATTCGGGTCGCATCCAACGACTGCACTTATGAATTGCCTTCCAGAGCCACCACTGTGTCGAGAATACGCAACTTGTATGAAGTCCAAAAAGTGAAAGTAGAGGAGGATTTAAGAAAGACTTCCACAGTTGCGCTCACCGGAGACTATTGGACTTCACTCAGTAATGACAGTTACCTCGGGGTCACAGCGCATTATTTTGACCCACAGTGGGAACTTCAGTCTCATGCTTTGGCAGTTATGAAAACAGAGGAGCGGCATTTCGCCGACAACTGCATTTCACACACACACACACACACACACACACACACACACACACACACACACACACACACACACACACACACACACACACACACACACACACACACACACACACACACACACACACACACACACACACACACACACACACACACACACACACACACACACACACACACACACACACACACACACACACACACACACACACACACTTTGTATTGTATTATTGTATTGTATGAGAGAGGTTCCAGGTTGAATTGAGGCAAATATTTGTAATGTTCAGAGGTTGTTGTGTTTAATATTCATGAGAGTATTTGTCATTGTTGAAATGATAATAAACAAATATTTGCATAAAGCATATTTATCTACTCATATGTTGATAAGAGTATTAAAAACTTGAAACATATCCCTCTAAGGTACATTTAGAACAGATAAAAAATGTGCGATTAATTTGCGATTAACTATGGACAATTATCATTAATCGTGATTAAATAATTTAATCGACTGACAGCCCTAAAAATAATACAATACTCTTAGTACAAACAGAATACAAGTGATTGGCTTGAAAACCATGCAACTTCCTCTGGAGTGCTTTAACTTTGAACTTGTTGTTGCGAAACAGAGACATAAGAAAAAAGCCCTGCACCCTGAATATGACTGAAATAAGTATCTTCATGTGAAACATCCACATAAACAATGTACCAGAGAATACATTTTGATAGTAGATTATACAGTAATGCTTCTGTAAATATAGGTATTATGCACACACAACACTTAGATTAATGAGCATAGCAGTCAGCAACAACAACCAAAATATGAGTGACCTAAAATAAATACATTATATACAGAGCCGGCCCGACCCATTAAGCGACATAAGCGGCCGCTTAGGGCCCCGCAGCCACTAGGGGCCCCCTAGCAAAAAAAATGAAAAAAATGATAATAATCTCAGTACACCGTCGCCGTGATAAGTATGTTTAATTAATTTTGTTAATATGCCTAGATTGCCTACTCTCAAAGTCATGTATTATATTATTGAGTCAATCATATAATACATTCACCGTGCTTTACCTGAACCTCATCATGACACTAGAGAGGACGGCAGAATTATAATTTCCCGTGTTCAGTGAATGCAACAGAGGCAAGGCACCAGACCAACCAGAGAGTTGAATGGAAATAAACATCTGTCTTATTGGCTGACAGGTACCTATCCTGTGAGCTGTGACAATGTTTAAAATAAACTGTCAGTCGGACTCAGAGTTTTTGAAGATGGACATAAGAACATATTTTCTTAAAAAAGACGACAATTCTCAAGTGGTGACTCACACAACAACCCCAGAGCCACCACTTGAGCCAGGTAAACAAGGTATGTAAATGTCAGTAAACTTCCAAGTTATGCGAACATGTAAGCAAAGCATAAATTACAGCTACGTTGACGTTACTTTGAATCGCGGGGGTAAGCTAAACCGTTAGCAAGTAGCTATAGCTAGCCAGATATATTAAATAACACTTTGTCATACAATCTAAATGTAATGTTTTTAAGCGTTACCTGGTGATTTCAAAGAAAGCTCCCTGGAAAATGTTGACTTACTGTTCGACATGAAGCTAGAAGCTACCTTACAGTACACAGTTGATACTGAGTCCTGTCAGTTAAAGTGTTTCATACTTAGCTAAGCATCAACCTAGCAATGAAATATATGGATGTTATTTGACAGTATTTCTGAGAAAAGGTCAGCTGAAATGGTGGCATGCCACTGTTTTACGTGTCGACAGCATGTTTGAACGTATTTGCAGCAGTAAATGTGGCTGTTTGGCCACTGACGTTGCCATAACAACACCTGAATTTAAATGTGCAGCCTCTTTTTGTGACAGATTTTTACATGAAATTATAATTCTTCTGAATGATATTCCTATTGACAGCTAGTTTCTGTGTGAACATTATGAGATGGACAGCCAGAGAGAATAAATGAAAAACAGTTGTGAAACTATATGACAAAACAAGAATACAGTTTAAAAGGGGAGTGATTTGTAAAATATAAGGAAAATAAAATCTGTTTACAGTTCTGTTTCATATGGATGTTGAGAGATGTATCCATAGATCTCTTAATTTTGCTTTCAAAGTGCACCAGATTAATGCTTTTGACTTCAATATTTTAAAAAAAAATCTTCCTGGGGGAGCATGCCCCCGGACCCCCCTAGCGGAGATGAGGACCCCCCCTAGAGGATGTTAGGTCCACGGTGTTTACATGCTTATTTATACAATATGTGTGCTCATGCTAACATCATAAGACAAAAGTTGGTTCCGTGTTGTGTGTAGTGAGAATGCGCTAGAGTAAGGGGGGCCCCCCAAGCCAAAGCTCGCTTAGGGCCCCCAAAAGTCTAGGGCCGGCCCTGATTATAGATCTCATCATAATCAGAGACTGAACCTGGGCTGGCGATAAATGGTCAAATGTGGTTTAAGCAACATGGACAGTGTTACATTTCGATGATGTAAATGAATAAATTCGGCCTACCGATCAGCAGAGCCACACACAGCAGAACGGCCATCAGAGCTCCGGTGCTGAGACCCGCAGGCAGGAAGACGGCCTCGGCGGAGCAGGCGAGCAGCGAGCCCCCCGCCCCGCAGGAACACACTCTGATGGTGAGGGTGGAGGTGCTGCTCTGGGCAGGGTACCCGCTGTCCTCCACCACCACAGGAAGAACATAAACCTCCTGCAGCCGCCGCTGGAAGCCCGAGCGTCGAGTCACGATGCCAGCCGTGTTGTCTGGAAACCAACAGACGGGAATATACATTTAGTTTTACTGTCACACCAGATCTGACGAACTCTGGAAGAGAACACCAGGAGATGCTTAATGGGTGGAAGCAGGGAGAGGCATACACGTGCCTTGATCCCTGCCGAGTCGAGTCACAACTGTTAATTTGTGTCAGTGCTAGAAACACTTTTTTGGAGCAATGCGCTCATGGTATAGATGTAATTTGGTTGTGTGTGTAGACGGTGGAAGCAGGGAGAGGCATATACGTGCCTTGATCCCTGCCGACAGGTGTCAGTGCCAGCAACACTTTTTAGGAGCAATGCGCTCATGGTATAGATGTGGCGCATACATCTTAGTTCCTACTCTTTTCCCTCACCCTATCCTAAGGGAGTGCATGTACGTAGACACGTTGTGCCTCTCCACCCAACCCTGTCTCCTAAAAATCACGTTCCCACAGAACTAAACTGCATTCTCAATTACGTTTAGCTAGAAACTTATTTTCTCCCACGTTACGTTAGTTATGAACGTATCTTAAATACGTTTATTTTCTACATATCTTTGCCATTTATTGTCTTGCTTATAATAATGATAATAGTCATTTATAAATATCATTTTAGAGCACACATTTGAAATCGACAATCGGGCTCGATATATGGTTAAATTAAAATCAGTAGGCGAGGCTGTAATTTCGCCAGTTGTTACTCTCATGAGCGAGGCAGAAAATAATAGTTTTAACATGCGAAAAAGCTGCTGTGTCGTTTATAGCACCTCAAACATTAAAACAAATCCAGAGTTACGTGTTTCTGTTCTTCCTCTAAGAACAAAGGACAGTAACAGAAGATCTCTGTGCCTTCAGGCTTGATCGCCGTTCAAATGACAGCGTTTCCCCAAAAGTGGGCGGGGCTGTAAAGTGACGTAGATTTTACTCTCATCTATTATTCAAAACCATTCTATTTATTGTAACGTAAATTACATGCCAGTGTTTTATCTTTTTATTTATTTGTTTTTATTTTAAATCATATAATGTCGGACTTTTTTTGCCGTCTGTGAGGAAAATAAATGGGGCTTAGAGCCTCAAAATACTGAAATCTGTATTTTTTTAAATCTTTTTTTCCTTCTAATTTGTTATTCTTTTCTAAATAACACACTTTTATTTACTCAACAATAACACACAATTATCCATGTTTTAGCACCGGAAACAGACGGGACATTTCGAGCGATACACACCACAAACCCACTGAACTGATTACCCAAGATCCTCAGCTTGAAGCTCGTTGATTGGATGTTTTAGCCGCAATGCACACTGGGATGTGGAGTTAATGCGATATGATATCCGAAAAAAAATTCAGAGTTTAGGATGGCCGAAGACACTACACTACCCATAATCCCCAGCTATCGTTTGGGACTACAGTCCAGCAGCATAGCTGTGGGTGGGCCCGGGTGGGCCTGGGCCCACCCACATGCACGTCTGGCCCACCCACAGCCAATCAGCGCTTCATAGCGCAGAGCCGGGAAGCCCAGAAGGAAGTGCCACAAACTGCAGTTCATCTAGTGGTCGACAGGGGATGGATGCAAAAAGGAGCAATTCCCATAGACCCCCATGTTAAAATGCCCAACTTTACAGCAGAAATAAACATGTTTCTAGCCTGGATCCAATAAAACTTATTCTGGATATAGTTAGATTCCACCTTCATGACAATGGAATAGGGAGTGCATTTTTTTACCGTGAGTTTTTATAGTAAGTAAAGTAACTTTTGCAGTGAGTGAATGAAAGTATTATTTCTTCTTGAGGTCTGCAGTTTAGCGTGTACACATTTGCTGAATATGAAAACACTCAGTGTGTGCCCACCGTGCGACTGTCAAGGATAAACAACCTGTGCCCCCGATATATGTTGTATGTATTATTGCTACACAAACATTACATTGCAGTTTAAGTGTCGCCAACTCCGTTTAAGAGATCTCTCTCCCGTCTGTGTGCGAGGGGGCGGGGCAGTTTACACACACGCAGCTGCTACATGCAGCAACACACACACACGGAGGAGATGGCAGAGAGAACGCGCTCCGAGGTGTGGTTAAACTATAGCCGTGTCGATGTGGACAATACTCGTTACCAAAAGTGGAATAAGCGTTTAGTATGTAAGGGCGGTAACACGAGCAATTTGTCTAAACATTTAGCAAAAGTGCTCCACATCCAGACGGAGAAATGCACCGGGTTCGACTGTCTTTCTAGTAGCTCTGTAGCCCCATCCACGAGTAACGTTTCCACGTCAGGTATGTTATGTATGCTAGCAGCAACACACCGAGTTAATCACATTATACAAACATGGGTTAATGATTAGAGGTAACTCTAAGTTATTTATTTAGTTAAAGTTTCAGCTATTCTGTTAACAATTCTGTCATCACATTATTTAATACGATTTGTTAAAACGTTGTTGTTTCTTTTGATGTGAAATATTATGTATTTAATTTAAATAAAAAGCAATGTTAGTTTTGTTCACAATTTGTTTATTGTTCTATCGTTTTTGTTTCACCCAATAGATGGGCCCTATGGGAGGAGCATCCTACACAACCCCTCCCCGTTGTTCTTACATGTATCCTGTTGTGTGCTTTGTCCGGTCTCTTTTCCTCCTGCCGCCAAGATAGTAAGATCTCCCAGCACTGGGAACAGAGCAGGGGTGCCCCTTTAAAGTGTATTGTTGTTGTTTACCATTAAAGCAGATTATTGTTTAACCTTTATCCTGGTGCTTTGAATTCCTTCTTTTATAATTGTACTAGCTCATCAAAGGACACGCGGAGCCGAGGTGGGTTTCAGACCACTCATTGCTCCAACAGGGTGCGGGAAGGGGGGTGCTGAGGGCGCTGCAGCACCCCCTAGTGGCAGGCAGGGGGTGCGGAGCTCCCCTGTCTGAATTATTATTTGATGGTTATTGCTGCTCCCGCTGTGCATAATCTGTGTAATATGTAGCCAATAAATTCCACATTGTTGGTAAAATAATATTTTGGCCAGCCCCGAATGTTTTTTCTGTAGCCCCGGACAATTCTACCTCCATAATATAATACATTAACCGTGCTTTACGTGAACCTCATCAAGACACTAGAGAGGACGACAGGACTGTAATTTCCCGTGTTCAGTGAATGCAACAGAGGCAAAACACCAGACCAATCGGAGAGTTGCATGGAAATAAAAGTGTGCTTGTGTCATTCAAGCTCGGTTCTGTGTGTGTGTGTGGGCGGAAATAGCGCATTTAGTGTGTGTGAGAGAGGGAGAGAGAGAGAGGGACCGGTGCCAGCAGCAGGGACCGTGTTGTTAGCATCTGATTAGCTAGCTGCACTAACGGACATACGGAGCTGTTTGTTCCACAACAAGCTGGAGGAGGACTCTCCTCTCAGACTGAGAGACTCAGGTGAGCTAAAGGACTCTCTGAGTGTTTAGATAGTTAACTTTAGTCTAAGTTATCTCAGTGGGTCTCAACGGTTTGGTCACAAATTATTCAAAAGATTATTTCCGCGGCACACCTTCATATGATCATTATTGTTATAAAAAAAATAAGAGAATAAAGGAAAAACAGTTATGAAATACTATATGGCAGTAAAACAAGAATACAGTTTGAAAGGGGAGTGATTTGTAAAATATCCATAAAGAAAAAGAACATCTGCTTACAGTTGTGTTTCATCTGGGTGTTGAGAGATGTATCCATAGATCTCTTAATGTTGCTCTCAAAGTGCACCAGATTGATGCTTTTAACTTCAATATTGGGGTCCGGGGGAGCATCCCCCCGGACCCCCACTCGTAAAAAATAGCACTTTACCCCTGCCTATATGCCGTGAGCTGATTATCGAGCCTTCATTGTAACAGTCGCGGGTGTACTGTGTGTTTGTGTGTGGGGAGTGCTTTTGTGCGTGCTCTATAGTGCCCGTAATAGTGTTCATTGGAGTCCAGCACCTCAGCACCCCCACTCAAAATACCTTCCCGCGCCTCTGGACTCAGCAGTTTATTTTTCGTTGGCTCAACAGGCGGATCACCTCAAGTACGCCCTAGAGTACATTTTTTATACTTGATTGGCAGCCTCATCCAGATGGGCTAAAGAGGCTGCTTTGAAGGAGGCACGCCAGGAGGTTGCTCGCAAGCCCTGGCTCAGGAGCTTGTTGCCTGAGTGGCTTAACACTTTTACAAGCAGCCCTGACAGCGTGTCTCGAGCCTCTGACCCTTTCTTGGGGTCTGGCCTGGCGTTTGGAGGTCCACGGAGCCTCCAAAGGACCTCTAAAAAACGCAAGGTCAGGAAGCCAGCTCGTACTTCTGTTCCGTGCCCAGCTGCCATGGTCCCTGCTCCAGGACCAGCCCATACAGTGTTAGAAATTAAAATCAATGTTTGATAGCATAAAGTAGCTTAAACATACCGTCACTTTAAATGCTATTTTATTCTGGAAAAAAACGGAAGTTCTCAATACCAAGCTTTTATTCTGAAAATCCTTCATCTCCGGTTAGCATTTAGCATGTGGCTAATATATCATTTCCTATAGATGTGAATTTAGCAGCGAAATTACATGGAGTGATGCACACCGAAACCTACTGATTTAACACTACAACTAATTGAACCAAGAGATTATTATTGCTGAATATTAAATGAAGGTACAGTTTATTTGAATACGTTATTGTTTACAGACGTGGGTAGCATGTGACAACATCCGGAACTACCGGAAACCAAAATGCTGTGAAGTATTTCCTGTATTTTTTAGAGTGTTGATTTTAGCGTTTGAAATGTATTTAGATGAAAAGTCATTAAAGAGATTAGGAGGAGAAGAGGCGTGTCTAGTTATACAATGAATGTCAAATGTCGAAATCCTCAGTTTAACGCAATATCGGACACAGAAGAACGAGGGGGAAGTCTCCTATGTCACCACAGCCCCTAGAGAGGAGGAGCAAACAGCCAGCAAGCGGGAAGGACGAATGCTTGTGAGCTCTTCTGCACGGCCACCACAGGGAGAGGAAGCTGCAGCCTTTCTCTCCTGA